GAGTAGCAACACGCCAACCAGCGAGAACTACTATGAGAGATCAACCCAGATCAGAAGCTGGCTTACGAACTATACCACAAGGTAGCTGTCCCAAAACCACACGTTCCTATTGAAATAAATCACGTAAATCTATTTCTGCTGTTGTCATGTTTCTTTCTTGCAACCATAGGCTTGTCTATAACATAATTATAATCATATATATTTTAAATTTTAAAACTAAAAATAAACAAAGATAGCAGGAAATGTTTTCATGAAATTCATGGAAAAAGAAATGGATTTAACTGGAAGATTTGCTCAAAAACAGTATGGCTAAAATCTTATTAATACCTGCCTCAGTGTATTTTTTTTTTTTTTTGTAAGGTTCATCCGGTACAAGGATCAGGAGCCATTCTAGCAAGACAGTTACATTAAGGGGTACTTTATATGAGGGGAAAATAAGAGTTAACTAGATTTTGAACTGGTTAAGATTGTAGAGATCAGGGAAATGTCCTGTTGGGAGACTGTTCCACAGAGCAGTGGTATATAGGAAGAAGCTGTTTGAAGAGGCTGATGGAATATGGAGAGAAAATGTGTGGTTTGCTACTATCTAAGTGGCATGTTGGTTCTGGCCATGAAGTTTAGATCTGGCAGAAACAGGGAATGTAGTTTCTCTGAGCATTTTTCATGGAAATAGTGATAGAGCAACAAGAGACTTGCCACATCCTGCCTGGATGAAGGGTGGAAAATAATTCTTCTCCAACAAGGACTCTGAGATGCTTTTGGACTCTATCAAGACTGTGAGGACGTGGTAACTCCCACCCAAATATGACAAGAGGACTCTATTTTGGGCCTGATCTGGTTGTTATAAAGGTAGAGGATAGCATAAGGAGACAGGTAGTTACTGGTGTGTTACAGGGAGCCAATCATTTTACCTGTATCTTTAGTGCAGTGACAGCATTATTCTAGACACTTTTCTTCTTATTCCTTTATCAAAATCCTTTTTTTTTTAATCTGACAGAGGTGCAGTGTGTGCTCTAGTTCTTGTTTGTTTTTGTCTACTAATTATCATCCTATACAAGGCCAAAGAGCCACTCATTATAGCAGTAAGAGTAAGCATTAAGAAGTGCAGTGTATGTGCGAAAGGTAATGGTTAACACTAGATCTGAAGAGGTGATCATAGAAGTATCCTCTCATATCAGTCTCTCTCACCTCCCTCACACATATCACCCCCTCTCTCACTTCAGTCGGTCTCATATCGCCCCCCCCTCACTTCAGTCGGTCTCATATCGCCCCCCTCACTTCAGTCGGTCTCATATCGCCCCCCCTCACTTCAGTCGGTCTCATATCGCCCCCCCTCACTTCAGTCGGTCTCATCGCCTTTCTTGGGGGAAAAAGCTGTCCAAATGGAACTTCTTACTAATGAAATACAAATACTATGAGGATGGTCCAACACTGTGTAAATTCCATGGCAGGTCTGAGCTGTAAAGGTCCAAACTGGTGGAACTACGGAATGTAGCTCCTCAGAACATTTACCATAGAAATAGTAATAGAGTAACAAGAGGTTTGTGATATTTTAGGATTGAAAATAATTCATCACTCACAAGGCCAAGTGGATACTTTTGAACTCTATCAAAACTGGAAAGTGAAAACTGTGCAGCCCCAGTCCGAATATGGCATCAGTACTTCAGTTTCAGTTTGATCTGGCTCTTGTAATGGTATAGTGAAGTAGGAGTCAGGTACGTACTGCAGTGGTACAAGGATCTGACCATTTTTCCAGCATCTTTAGCAGTGGATCATATATAGGAGTTCCACTTGAGTGGTCCCAATTGGTATTCAAGGCAAGCAGCCTCTTTGAGAGAACACACATTCATCATGATAGGCAAGCATTCAGAGTCTGCTCAGTAATGTTACTAGTCAGTTTTATTCCCCGTTAGAAGAAAGATCAGCTCATCCTCTAGATTTCAAGATGTGCATCTATATCCCATTTAGAGATGGATCATTAAACTTTGTAATATGACAATAAAAATTATATGAGTATTCATAATAGTACCAACACTAGTAATCACACAAGTAACAACAAAGCAAAAAAGCTTGTTTAAATCTTATGACTTTGGTTCATTTATACAGAGTGTCCCTAAAGTCTGGATACATAGGAAATCTCATTGACTATATTTTTTTTTTTTACCTTCCCAAATTAAACATAGTTTTCTTACAAGAAAGAAGAATTGACTTCTTTTACTGGGGATATGCTAAAGGAGAAGGTGTACTCAATGAAAATCACAAATGTAACACACTTGATTGAATGCATAAAGAGTGAAGAAAGAATTGACTTCTTTTTCTGGGGATGTGCTGAAGCAGAAGGTGTACTCAATGAAAATCACAAATGTAACACGCTTGATTGAATGCATGAAGAGTGAAGAAAGAATTGACTTCTTTTTCTGGGGATATGCTGAAGCAGAAGGTGTACTCAATGAAAATCACAAATGTAACACACTTGATTGAATGCATAAAGAGTGAAGAAAGAATTGACTTCTTTTTCTGGGGATGTGCTGAAGCAGAAGGTGTACTCAATGAAAATCACAAATGTAACACACTTGATTGAATGCATGAAGAGTGAAGAAAGAATTGACTTCTTTTTCTGGGGATGTGCTGAAGCAGAAGGTGTACTCAATGAAAATCACAAATGTAACACACTTGATTGAATGCATGAAGAGTGAAGAAAGAATTGACTTCTTTTTCTGGGGATGTGCTGAAGCAGAAGGTGTACTCAATGAAAATCACAAATGCAACACACTTGATTGAATGCATAAAGAGTGGATGTGCTAAAATTGGTTGCAATGTGGAGTTATTACATTGAGTTCATGTGAATCTTGCAAAGTTAACTTTTGCATCACAAATGTTGGAAATCATATTGAAGATGTTATTTGTTAATATTCCTGTTCAGTAAAATGTTGTTGAAAATTTAATTTCTTGAAAATATACATTTTTTTCTCTATTTGTCCAGACTTTAGGTACACCCTGTAGAGAAAAATAAATTTTAATCAAGGGAGGTTATTCTTTGTTTGAGTCCATTTTCTCATCAAATGCAACTTACAGTCTATCATAAAACATTGCCAATAAAAGTTACCTTTATATCAGTTCAATTCAATGATCAGTTTTGACTTGGCATCTCAACTTCAATCACTTTCATATTGCTATGACTTAGGTCCCAATTGTCTTTTCCATAAATACTTTCATGGCAATTGTTCTTATCAGCTTTCCTCCTTGGTACCTCAAATGTATGAATTTAATGCGCTTTATAGATTTATTATGAATCTTGTAAATTTTAATACCTCGAAAACAAAATTGTTTTCATTTAATCACCATAGGGATCCTTTTCTATCTACCAGGAGAACAACTCTTTGCACCTTCTTAGGCTCATGTTTTCCGCTGATATGAAGCAGTGGGATTATTTTGATTGAATGGCTAAGTCTATTGCTAGGAAGTTGTATTGTGTCAGATATTTTTTTTCTTATCAGAATCCATCTTGCACATTTATAAATTTATCATTCATCCAGTCAAAGCTTCTGATTGTGAGATTAGAGGTTTTGAGAAGCATTAATTTCTGTTGTTCCCAGGTCCACTCTGACCTGGCTTGGTAGCACCTGTTAGGGTCCCAGCTATGGGAAAATAGTGAACACCCCAAACAAAATCAAAACTCTATGAAAGTGTAACAGTATTTTTTTATAGTAAAATTACCAACAATGCTTATTTATAGCAAAATTACCACCAATACATTTTATAGTAAAAATACCAACAATACATTTTATTTTTTGAAGACATGCAATTGCATTCAAAACATATTTAATTGAAGCCACAAAATTGTGTTCAAAATATTAAGACTTTGGCATTAAATAACCCATTGAGGTTGATATGCTGCCAAACAAAATCAGCCAAACTGTATTTCACTTTCTTTGATGTATATGACAATTTTAACCTCTTCAAGACAATGATCAGTCATTATCTATCCTCTTTCTCCTCATAATCTCCATTTTCAAACACTTTTTTTAAAATTCATATCACATATCTCAATCATCATAATCATTTTAGGTTATGCTCTACCTTAAGTGACTTTCGAGCCTTGCATTGGGTAAATTTTAGTATATTAAAAAAAATACTGTATTTTATCATATATAAGCCAATTCTATATATACCACAACTCCTGAATTTATTTTTGCATAAATTTTAACCCCTCCAGAAAAAGTTTACCTGTGTAGAGTACACACCTCCTATTTTTTATATACAGTACTAGAGTATTATGAAGATAAGTTCATTGCAAGTACTAGTAGTTTATGGTAGACAAAATCTAGGAGATATTATAGGAAGAATTTGCTTTGGAAAACAATATACCATTAAATCAAGTATTTAGAAAACTTACATAATCTGTACAAAAAGATTGAAGTAAAGTTTCCTGTGTTATAACTGACATCTGCACTTGTGACTTTACAGGCATGTAACTACAAGAAGCACCTTTGTTTCAGTTTCACCTCCAATTGACAGAAATAAGATCCGTGCCATTTGTTGTAAAAGATTCTCAGCTGTGCAAGTAACAGACAGAAGTGTCACTGTTTCAGACTGACCACAAATTGAACATTCTCATCAAATCTGCCACAATAAGACAAACTTGTGTTCACTGGGGCAAAATGTGATGGCAAATGCATCTGCTGATAAGTATCTCTGCTTACGTCTACATCTCGATATAATAAAAGTAGTACTATTTCTGGATACATGTTCAAGTGGACTTTCAGGGAATCGTAGGAAAATAGTGGTTTTTGGCATGCTCTCTTTGTGTCTGAATAGGTTGGCAAGTATTCCCATTGTAATTTTGATCAGTACTTTCCCATTTTCTGAGAGTATTTCATAAGTGCAGTTGTCTCCAGTCTCTTGTATACTAACCCATTCTTCAAATCTCTCAGACACTCTCTTTTTTTTTTTTTTCATGTCACCGCATTTCTCTTCTTTTTCATCTTCCAGCCTCTGTTATGCTTTCCATCTTCTTATGGTCTCTGCCGTTTCCCGCCTCTGCCGTTGTCTTTTTCTTTCTCCCACCTCCGCCGTTGTCTTTTTCTTTCCCCCGCCTCCGCTGTTGTCTTTTTCTTTCCCCCGCCTCCGCCGTTGTCTTTTTCTTTCCCCCGCCTCCGCCGTTGTCTTTTTCTTTCCCCCGCCTCCGCCGTTGTCTTTTTCTTTCCCCCGCCTCAATTATTCACTGTCTTCCTCATTCTTCTATTCATCCATCTTTCTTCATCGTTCCCCTCCTCTTCTCTCTTTCTTCATCGTTCCCCTCCTCTTCTCTCTTTCTTCATCGTTCCCCTCCTCTTCTCTCTTTCTTCATCGTTCCCCTCCTCTTCTCTCTTTCTTCATCGTTCCCCTCCTCTTCTCTCTTTCCTCATCGTTCCCCTCCTCTTCTCTCTTTCCTCATCGTTCCCCTCCTATTCTCTCTTTCTTCATCGTTCCCCTCCTCTTCACCCTGCCTCTGCAATCCTCCTCTTCTTCCACCTACCATTGCTGCTTTCATCTTCTTCCTCATTTCTCATACCCTATACAAATTTTAAACTCTTGAAAAAATCTTGTCTTCTCAATTTGTACTCATAATTTATCTCTTGCTTTTTTTATATTTATTTAATTGTCTTCTTTTTAGATTTAATGTTGTAAAATCCTGTAAAAGGACAATCTAGTTCTCTAACAAATTCTTAATATAATCTTCCTAGAAATTAGTTACCAAACACAAAAGTTGTTTGATTAAGAATCAAAAAAATTAAAATATATTCCCAGAAGCTATATTCTATTACAGAAGCAAAACCTCTTCTGTTATTGAGTGCATCACTCAGAATCTTTTAAATTACCAAAATTGCACACACAAAACTGAGGAATACAGATGAGGAACGAGGAGTTCTTTATTTGCATCTTATTCTTACGATTGAGTTCTCTCAGAAAGATAATGGATTTCCAGTCTGGCTTCCTTTTCTGCCATTAATCAATTAGTTCAAAACTGTATTTCCAATCATTCCATTGAGGGTTTTTTTTAATGGATACTGTGTTTATTTGTTCATGTTAACATGTGTTGGTTTCTTAAAATGAGAAATGTCCACAGTGACAATCAGAAGTGTGTGTGTGTGATTGATTTGTTTTTTGTTTTTTTACAGCTTATCAATCTTTTTCAAGTTATTTAGAGCCAGAAAGTATTTTTTAGATTGTAAGAATCTTTTGGATATGATGATTTACAGGTACAAGTCCTGTTAATTAACCCATAGCTGGGGAAAGAAGAGGTAAATTCATACCTTTCCCAAGGGTATTTGGACATAAGTGAGTATAATTAACCCAAATGGAACTGGAACTTGGCTCACTAATTTCCAATTCCAAGCCATTATCCATTACACCACCTTCACATCCAAGATTACAGATATTAATATTTCCAAGCAGTTACCCATCCAGTTACTGACCAGACTCAACATTTCTTAAATTTGGTGATCATATAAATCATACTTTCACACTAAGTAAAACTTTATATCAGATAAATCCTTAAGGTGTAAAACTGCCAGTCATCATGCAATGTTAATATTTATGTCTATACTGTTCTATATATAATGGGGATGTGGTCAGAATGTTCACCTTCTGACCATAAGACCGTGGTTCAAATTCTCAATATGTGAAGGCAATCCCAGCATGCAGCACCTTTGAAAAGTGCTTGAAAACCATCACACAGTTTGACCCAAGCCTTGTAAGTGTGTGGGGTTAGACAGATTGAACTGATCATTGATGGTTGTGCTAGTATGAAGTCATGAGTCATTATAACCAAGGATTTGTGTCTATTGGCCTTGTTCATTCAAATCGTTGATCATGTCCAATAATGCAATCTCTCGCAGAAACTATAACAGGAATGGTTAGCCATTCCAGCAGACAGGCATACTCAGAAATAAGTGGAAATATGTGAACACGCACACACACAAAAGATGTTCCAAATGCCACAAAAGAGCTACCTCTACCAGACTGGAATGTGCATATGAATGTTTGACTCAAAGAAAAAGATCAAACAACTTATATTTTAAAGCAATTTTGAAATGTAAAAATTCTTTCAGTCTATGAAAGTGAGATTTCAAGAATGTAGTTCTTAGGATTATATTTATGATTTTCTTTCTTTTTTTTTTTAAAAAAAGTGAGCTATTCGAAATGAGAGTATCACCATATATTTGTGTAGGTGTGAACACTGAAAATATTGGCTTCAGAAATATCCATCTTTTTCAGAGATTTTTATATAAGGATGACACATTTAATAAGTCTTGAAACACATCTCTAGAATATAATGAACATCAAATATATTTAACCTAAGCATTCAAAAAAATTTTTACTAATTAACAGTCTGTATGTTGAAAAAAAATTTACTTTGGATTTTATCTCATATTTATTCTTTTGCCTAGCAGTGATATCTGGTGTTGCCCATTCTTAGTCTTTTATTTTTGCTGCATTTTGAAATTGTCACAATTAAAACAGTTCAATAAGGTTAAACAATTCGCTTGTTGTCGATTTCATTATTTTTATTTTTTTTTTTTTTAAGCATTTCACCCCAAGCAAGGTAAGAGTGCCACTATCATACAAGCATTTACAGAGAGTAAGAATAAAGAGGGGTGTTTGAGGAAAGGATAAAGAGAAGGACCGGGATCAAGATCAAGGCATCAGAAGATATCGATTGACATTATATTTGAATATTATAGTTATAAGGGAAGCAAGTAAGATGAAGGGAGTTCCACTGTTGGGAAGTGCAAGAGAAGCAGCTGTTGGAGTAGAACAGGTGGTTATATTTAATTGTTTTGACAGTGAAAGGATTTGACCGAGATGCCAACTTAGCATGCTTAAATTCATGTAGTCAGAGTACCAGTGAAAGTAGCTCAGCAGAGCAACTGCCATGAAAATATTTGTAGAAAAGACAGAGGGAAGCCACATCACATCTGTGAGAAAGTGACTCTAGTCAAGATACCAGATCAGGACCTATCACATTGCATATCCATCTTTGAATTTTGTTGGTAACCTCGAGATGAACAGCAGGAGCACCAGACCATATATGGCAACAGTATTCAATGCAAGGATGAATGGTAGATTTATAAATTTGAAGGATGGACTCAGACAAGAAAGACCTTCTGGCACAACACAAAGAACCAACTTTCCTTGCAGATGAAGCTATTGATTCAGGTCAGTGGTAAAACGTGAGACCAAGAAGGCACAGAGAGACACTGGAGTTGAGCATCAGCCATGTTGATAGAAAGCAGGGAGGGTTCTCTATGGTGGGTAAATGAAAGCAGTTTTGTTTAGGAGGCATTAAAGTTTACAAGCCATTTCCTGCCCAAGTCAACCACAGATCAGAGGTCCATTTTCAAGACCAAAAACTAAGTTAACTTTGTCAGCAATGCTGGAATGTTATTATTCATAATATTTTTTTTAACCTTTCAAAATATTCTGTTAAATATGTAAACACTAATTAATTCCCTTTATATATTATTTCCTTTTTCTCCTGTGATTTAAATCCTAAGGTAGTTGCCACTTTCATGATTGAAAATGAGTTTATGTGATTAATTATGCAAATATAAAAATCCAAACAATTGCTTATTTATAAAAATCACAAAAGACCAGATTAGAAGGAACGAAAACAATTTCTTTTAGAAATGCACATCTCTGGTTGAGATTTTTCAGTGTCTACAGGCTTATGGCCATATCACTGAAGTTAAGCAACATCAAGCCTAGTTAATACTGAGATGAGTGATTACCTGGGAATACCAGGTGCTGTAAGCTTGCATGTGTGTATAGTGTAATGGATAACAGCTCAAAATTGAAAATCCTGCAGATTCAACTCCCGTCCAATCTTGAAGACTTTCTTTGTTTCTGCTTATAAATACATGTACACACAGATATGGTTGGAAAAGTTCTCGCTGCAACCAAAAATGAACTCACTAAAAGAAACTTGATATTTGGCCAAAATGTGGAAAGTGTCTGTTGGATTACAAACATTTCACCCACCCAGTTTGTTTTTCATATGTGTGAGATATATATATATAAATTTATTATGTTGGTGTGATTAAACATGCATACAAATCAGGAATGTTGGGAATTTTAAATTTAAATTGTTGTTTTTTATTTATATATATTCTAGCCAATTTCCTTTGTAATCTTTTTGATTTTGTTTCCCCACATTGTAATATGCCAAGAACGGTGAAATGTTGTAAGAGCCAGGATGCAAATTTACTGTGGATGGCCTTGCAATCAAGGTACTCTGTAAACATTTTCATCTTGGTGAACTTTTTCCTCCTTTTGTCAACATAAGGTCTAAAGATCGAAATTCATCACACAAAGACTTTTTTCCACTTTGCCATACATTTTCCTCCCAATATTATTCTTGATATATATAAAATTTATATATCATTATCTTGTGTGTGTGTGTATATATATATATATATATATATATATATATATATATATAATATCCTAATATCAATAATCAAGATCCTCTAGATTCCTTTTCTTTATTCTTTGTGGATTACTATAACATCTTGGTCAAAATAGTGATGTAGTTTCTCATTGCCTTCTTTGTCGTTTCAAATTCAGTTTTCCTTTTCATTGACTTATTGCTATCCAATTCTAGAGAACCCTGTTTACCTTTGGTCAGGTAGAGGGGAAGTTAATTTGAAATCAACTTATACTGACATCCATTTTGTTACTTGCAAGATACTTGAGGACTCCCACCTGAATCTATGAATCCCACCCCCACCACACTACATCTCAATTTTGATAAGGTAGTATTCATATTAAAATATACATTTTATTATCACCTAATTATGTACAATAATGGATCATATGCCATTGTAGATGAAGAATTCAGCTAAAAAACATTGAAAATAAATACACTGTATCTAAATTCAAATTAGAGACGTGTCATAATAGATCATTCCATCTTAAATAAATCAACAATGTTTTGCAGTAAGTTAAGATTTTTCTTGTTAAAAAGTTGAATAAACCCATTCAACATTATGGATAAAAAATAATTGTAGAAAAATCACGTGGTAGAGATAAACACTCAGTTGTGGAGCAAGCTAAGTGAATAATAATCCAACCTTTAGAAAGAAAGCTATTTATGCTGCCATGGAGCATCTCATTGTGGTAAAGTGGGATAATCCATTGCTTGGGCTGTGATTGGCTGCTGGTACCTGAGTGGAGGTATTTCTATATAAATACCAGCTTGATTCATCAGTTAGTTTGCAGGGTTTGTATTAAGTTACAACCTGCTTTTATTTTTGTCTGCCAGCTGGATGCTAGCTGGGACCTTTACACTGGTAAGTGCTGTTTATTATTGTTATTTTACAATAATGATTTTTATATCGCTTTTTTTTTTCAAGACTTAGCATGAGCAAAAAAATCATGGATTTGGACCGAAAAAGACTCCAGAATAACATCAAAATCTGCAAAAGTTTCTCATCCCTTAATAGTCAGTTGTACTTAATTTAATTTGTAATGTATATAAATGTAGGTAGACAAAAAGAAAATGCTGATACGAAAGTGAATGTCATAA